CCGGGTGGGGTACTGGGGCCTGGGTGCAGGGCAGGACTGTGCCATGGCTGTCCCGCTTGGGGCAGGGTTTGGGCTGAGCTCTGTGAAACTATTTTCAGGGCTGGAGCATTTCAGACCCCTCACTGTAGGCTTAGCCAGCACTTCAGTGTAGACACAAGTCTTTGGTCCCAAAATGCATCTTTGTCCAGTCGCTTTTTGTAAGGCTGGTCTCTGATCTGTGATTTCTTCCTTTTGCAGTCAGGTGGATTCAGGCAAGCCTCAGGAATCAAGTAATTTCTGCTAGAACTCAGGAGCAATGTCGCAACAACTCCTCTACCGTGCTCTGGTATCTGCAAAATGGCTTTCAGAAGCCATTAGGTCCCAGCAAGCTGGTCTGGCCTTGAGAATCGTGGATGCATCCTGGTATTTACCGAAGATGAAGCGTGACCCAAAGCGGGAATTTGAGGAGCGCCATATCCCTGGTGCAGTTTTCTTCGATATTGACCAATGCAGTGACCGTACTTCACCTTATGATCACATGTTGCCCAAGGCTGATGACTTTGCTGAGTATGTGGGGAAGCTGGGTGTGGGGAATGATTCCCATGTTGTGGTGTATGATGGCAGCGACCAAGGCCTCTTCTCAGCACCTCGGGTGTGGTGGATGTTCCGGGTCTTTGGACATGAAGCCGTCTCCCTTCTGGATGGCGGCCTGAAGAACTGGCAGCGAGAGGGGAATGCGCTGAGCTCTGGAAAAAGCCAGGTAGCTCCCTCTGAGTTCCACGCCTCCTTGGACAAGTCCCTGGTGAAAACGTATGAGGATGTCTTAGATAACTTGGATTCCCACCGCTTTCAACTAGTGGATGCGCGCGCCGCAGGACGGTTCCGGGGAGTAGAGCCAGAGCCCCGAGATGGTAATTTGCCTCCTGAGACACTGGCATAATAAAAAGGGGCTTCATTTAAGGTGCCCATCAGTTTGACTTCAGTAGATGTAATGAAGGGAAATATGGTTGCCCTTTATGGGATGGGACTTGAGGCAGCGTATCCACCTGGCCTCCTCTGCTTTTGATAGCAAGTGCTGCTCTTTGAAAATTCTGTAGTGGGGAAGCCATGTGTTTGTTTTTTTTTTTTCCTCATGAGGGTCTGGGGTGAAGAACGTAGCTTTCATATACCTCAAAGATATTCATTGGTCTCTTCATCTAGTGGTGCTACTCTTCCCCTCAGAAGGGCCTGTGGAGGTGCTTCAGCATGGGTTGCTTTGATGCAGGGAAGATGTGGAGGGAACTGGGAGGAAGAAAAGAACTTGACAGGATTGTGTCGATATGGTAACCTGAAGGTTAGAGCCATCCTTCCTGAGTAATTAGTAATCTAGTAAAGCAAAGTTTAACAAAAATGTATTTGGTTTAACAAAATACACTAAACAATAAATATTCTTCCCAGTGAAACAGAGAACATGTTTTGCAATGGATTTGACCCAGACAGTAGAGGTTAGTTACTATCTGTATTGCTTTTCCTCCAGGAATCGAGCCTGGTCATGTCCCTGGGTCGATGAACATCCCCTTCACGGATTTCCTCACAGAGTCTGGCTTAGAGAAGACCCCTGAGCAGATCCGCAGTCTGTTCCAGGAGAAGAAGGTGGACCTCTTAAAGCCGGTGGTAGCCACATGTGGCTCTGGGGTCACTGCCTGCCACGTGGCTCTGGGGGCATACCTCTGTGGCAAACCAGATGTTGCTGTGTATGATGGGGCCTGGGTGGAATGGTACATGCGGGCACAGCCTGAAAATATTATTTCTGAGGGAAAGGGGAAGACAGTGTAATAAGCTGCTTCATCTCCCACCTGTGCAGATAATTTGCCTTGAAACAGAATTTGGAGAAGATGGGTTTAGCATTCCTGGTTAAGTGATATGAGGTAAAGGTGTTGGGTAACAAGTACAGGCACATGGTGCTTTGGCACTTTCTATTTACCCTACTGCTGCTGCTTAGGAGCATAACAATGACCTGGGCAGCCAGCTCTAGGTGACCCTGCTTGAGTAAGTGGGGTGAACCAGCTGTCCTCCTGGGGTGACTTCTAATCTCAGCTGTTCTGTGATTCTGTGACCTTTTTATAGTATCAGATGTAAGCGAGAGAGTGCTGGTGGCAGCATGGGGAAGTAATTGAGTCAAGCCAAGCTCATGACTCAGGACATTACACCATGTTCACTCACAGGATGGTCATACTTGTACAACTGTGCCTCATTATCTTGCTCTCTGTCCTAGAAGCTATCCATGCATTTTCTGGCCATTTTGAGTACAAAACTTAGGGGATAAACATAGCTGTTAAAGGAGCAAATATGGCTTCCAGGATGGTGCTTAGGTTAGAGACTTGGTTTGGATTTCTTCTTGCACTTGGACGCTAACTGCAATGTGTACTTAGCCAGTTTTGTAACCCCATGGTCCAAAATCCCCCTTGGGGGGGAAAAAAATTCTGGGATTAAAAAGGAGTAAATAAACATGTGTTTCAAGGTCTTTCTGCTGAATGGAGCTTATGTGAGTGTTGCTTGGGTGATTCCAGGAACTCTGTTTGTATGGGATCACTTTGTCTTGATGATTCAAATCACGTTCCCTTCCTTTCATGAGTAGAACTACTTCTCTTAACCTCAACAAGCTCTTTGGCCCAGGAAAGACAATGGCATGCCTCTCTTGGGACTTCTCACCATCTTCCTTCTTTCAGTCCTTGTCCATTTGCTTTTGGCCAAAAACTCCACCGTTAGTCAGTCACAGCTCTGTTCTGCAAAGACCGGATATCAGTTCATATGGTGAAAATTGGACTGCACGGGTGTTTCTGTTCTTTCCATGAGACTTACTGTGTAACCTTAACAAAACTTAGGGAACTGAGACCTACAGAGGAATAGCCCACAATGGTAAGTATTTTTTCCCAAGACCATTGTCTTATATCTGAGTGTTGAAATCCCCCTGGGTATCTGGGTATTCCTGAGAATGTTCAGGAATCTGTTCTCTAGTATTTTCTCCTCTCAAACGAAAAAAAAAAGAAAAAAGGCAAGCCTGCACCTATTTTGGCTCACTGGTAATTTAGAAAGTTAATGAGACAGTTTCTGCTCTTGGGCTTGCAGCAAGGGTACCTGTGGACATCTGAGGGTGACGGGGTCAACCCTTTCTAGGGGATGTATATGAATGCTTATGGTCACAGATTTGCAGGGTTCCCTCCTAGCCACTGAATATGAGGGCTGGATCCTTTCCTATTGCAGAGTGTTTATTCCTCGCATTTCCTTTGGCCTCTGTTGGCTGCAGCCCGGGCTTCTTTCTGGGCTTGGCTTGCATGTACACAAACTCCATTTCTGCTCACCTCCTGTGGAGCTAGAGTTTCACTGTCCAGATGATTTCTTCCTCTGTCCTCCCCACCCACACATACAGCCTGGCCCTTCTTTCCACTCATTTCCCATGACTTGCAAGCATTTGATTTCCTTACTTACATCCAGTCTAACAAGCTAGCTCTTCAGGGACTTGGGGCTGGCACTGCAGCAAGTGCCGAATATACAGAGTGCACAGGAGTCTGAAACGAGTGACCTGTTAGTAGGCAGTGCAAGACACAGATCTGGATAAAATAATAAGCCCTTCTATTCAATTTAGTTCTTTGGGCCTAGACTTCCCAAAAGGGCTTCCTTTGCAGGTTACAGCATACCCTGCAAATTAAGACTTTTGGTTCTTGATTAATTAATTTTGATCTGGTTTAATTAATTTTCTTCTCCTTCCTGCTAGGGAAAGGTTTTCTACTCTCATGCTTTGTGAATTTCCCCACTTAGGTAATCACTGTATTTTTGAAGGCTGGTAGCAACACCTTCGTTTATCCCAAGTGGGGCAATTTTGTAGCAACCGTTTCCTGCAGGGGAAAGGGAAGAACTAGTTGGCATGTCATGCAGGACATCTCATTGTAGTCTGTAACTGAAGACACTTAAAAAAAAAAAAAACTTTTTAAGCTGAAGTATGGTGTTGACGTGAAAACAAAAGAATAAGCGCTGGCTGGGGTGACTGCCTGGGAACAGCAAGTGATGCTAAACTCTCTGTGGAGGGGCCTCCCAATCTAAGCAACATGCGTGCTGCTTTTTAAGACACTTTTAAAAGATATTTGTACGGCGTTGTCTATTATGGGGTCTTGTATCAGAATCTGGCATGTGATGTCTCTTCAGTTCAGGATTTCTAGGTTCTCCCACCATCAGCCAAGCTAAGAGGCTTTCACCTGGTGGGTCATTGAGGTTTAACATCCTGGGTGTGGCTGGGAGGTGACACTGATTTTGTCAATACGTGGCCAGGCCCCTAGGTACAAACAGGAATGCTGTGCCTGCTCTGTTTCTTCAGGAAAATTTACTTACTAGAGAAAATTGATGTATTCTTTCAGACTTTATTAATCGTTTATAATGGATGCAGGGGACTGGCTTTGGTCTTGTCCTTCCAGAACATTTGACAGTGCAGCTTAAGTGCTGTGTTTCTTTTTTCCCACTGACCCCAGCAGTCCCTAATCAGTGAGCATCTCTCTGCTGCCTTTTGAGACTGAGCTGCTTTTCTCTGTCCTGTGTGTCACGGGGAGGTGTCTGGTGCAGCCCAGCCATCCACCTGGAGATCACAAACTGAGTGAAAGATTTCCCTCTCCCCTTGCTCTACATTTTGACTGTGTGGCTCAATGACATCCAGCAGGGCCCTTCCCTCTCTCTGATATGTGTGCCAGGGCTGGCAGTACTCAACTGTCCTCTTCCCGACCTGGTTTTGAACCACAAAATCTCAGTGGTTCTTCAGTTTCCCAGCTTTTGGCAAATCTTTTACCAGATGCTTAGCTTTGCCTTGATTTCACCACAGGGGAGAAATTAAGAACTTCCTCACTACAACCAGATACTTTGTCTTTCTGGGATATGCCCTGTTACATCATATCAAAAATCTGTTCAAGAGTGTTTTCTGATACTCTCCCTCCTTTTAGTTGAGATCTGTTCTCATGCTGCAGGCAAAGCACTGTGAATGTTGTGGAGATCGAGACAATGTTTTCAAAGCCTGGAGAGTGCAAAAACCTATTTTAAGCCATAACAGATGCTACTGGACATATGGAACAGCTGAGGGGACTTGCACCAGGACTGTAAATGTTCTGCAGATCTTTATGTCCCTGACTCTGTGGGTGGGTTTCCTATGGGAAGTGGAATCTGGGGAGAAGTGAGTATGAATGCAAATCACTGATGTTCATGACTCTTCTGTGGAAAATTTGCCACAGGGAAAGGGGAATAACATATCTTTGGTGGGATAGGGCTCACGATGCCCAAAAAGTAGCCTAAAAAACAGCCCTGATGTAGGAAGAGGGTCACACTGACCTGTGGCTAACTTGAGACTGGAGCTTTTACAGCTCTCTATATAAACTTGAAAATTCCAGGCCAGCATGTAAACTCTGTATTGGTTTATTGATATATTTTACTATCTGTAATACATTTGTCCTGAAGCAGTTTTAGAGTCTCTGAAAACAGTCTGGTAAATGGTTCTCCAACAGTAATCCCACAATCCCCTGTTCCTCATATGTCTTCTTCATCCCCTGCCTTGCCTACTGGTGCCTAGCAGCCGAGTTGCACTATTTCAACTTCATTTCTCAGTGTACCTTTTTTTCCCCTGCAAACTTTCCCAAATCCCAACACAGCCCTTCTGCCAGCACTGCTGTCCCTTCCCACTAAAGACCACTGCATGAGCAATGGTAATTGCCATTAACTGCAGGGGCTTTTCTTGTTACTCCCAGCTCACAACTGGGTGCTACATGGCTGTTTTCTCACCTCCTCCCAGCACTCTTCCAGCAAAGATGCTAAATGATGCACATACACACACAGACTTTACACACTATTTTGAATGCAGGTACATTGCTCACAGGCTGCAGGAAGCACAAGGAGCTGGAGAAAGATTAGCTCACCTGCATGCCTTGCACCTTTCTCTTCTGGCTCTGATACGCCTGGTGCAGCTGGCGGTAAAGCTGGGCTCTGTTGGCTAGAATTGAACTGTCTTCCTCCCACCCCCAAGTCTAGCGTGGGGAGTTTTCTTTGCTCAGTTCACTGTTGGCTTTAATGGCAAATGTCAGAGTATTACTTGTCCTCCCCACCGCACTTCCTGGAGAAAACAGAGAGGAGACAGTTTCTTCTTTGGTACTTCATGCCATGGTGTGTTCATTAACTAAATGATCATGCAAGTTTAATCCCAGATGTGTGTTCCCAGCCTGCCAGAGTGGTGATACTGTCTATGCAAATGCACGGTGATCCCTGCTCCCACTGACACTCCACAATGCAACAACTCCCTAAAAGCAGCTCGACAACGTCAGTGATGCATCGTATGCCACGTGCCCAGCTGACTTGTCAGGCTGCAGTGTATGTACAGAGCGCTGCAGTGTGTGTGGCTTTCTGCAGGTTTGCACTGCAGGCCTGCTGGCTGCCGAACCAAGAAACTCTCAGCTTACCCCCTGCTCCATTTTCCTCAGCTCTTGTTCAGGCCCATGACTTATATATCCAGTGGCTATCCAGCTTTTCCTGCCCCCAGTCTGTCTCTGCAATTTTCCCCGTGATTTAACTGGGTACTCTGTGGGGCTGTACAGTACTGTAAGCTCTTCCTTGCTCCTGCCTCTTTGTTTCTGTGCCTGTGTTTTATATATAGTTATCATCAAAGCAGGAGGAACAGACATTTGATTATTTAAATTTATTTCTCCTCTGTTCTACTGCTTAATTTTAATGGACCTTAACAAGCGCATGCTAGTTGCATCTCAGAACTATGTCTGGTGATGGTGTGCAGATCAGGCCTGTATTTATCCCACACCACCAACTCATTGGAGCATTTCAGTTGGTAACTTATCCCAGACTGACTTCTTCCTAAAGAGCATTTTCGTGTACTGTGGGGAACGCCCAGGCCTGGGGGTTTTCCAGTAAAGTCCGTGCTGTATGTTGCAGAAAAGAAGGTTCTGGGGATGGGAGTGGTGTACCTTGACCTCTTTCCTTACTCATAGTATACCTCTTTAGATTTACCAATTAACCTTTCACACCACGGCCCTGGGGTGAGCAAGACTTGAAGTGCTGGCCCCAGATGGAGGGAGGCTGCTGTTGATGGAAGAAGGTATACTCTGCATGCAGACCATCCCTGACCCGTGAGCAGCATTGGCGTGGGAGAGGTTGGGGAGGAAGGGTTTGAAAGTAAGAGATTGGACCTAAAAAGGAGTAAGAGACTGAGGGGCTGTGAGAGGAGGAAAGGGAGACAGAGTGAACTCTTAAATAGAAGAAAGAAGGAAACAAAGGCAGGGCAGATTTCTTGGAGGGGGAGATAAGGAGCTATAGGCTGCCACCCAACTACTGCATTCATATCAGAGAGCCACAGCCCTCACTCTTATTCTCTGCTGGAGCTACAGCTGGCACAGACAGGGTCCCGCATCCCTTGCACACCAGAGTGCGGGGCAGAGCTCTTGGATTTGCCATGGTTTGACTCAGAGACAGAAGTAGAAGGGCAACAGTCCCACAGCCCAGAGCTATGTTGCACTGTGTGATACTTCAGCTCAGGTCAGTGCTAGTCTGAGCATCTTTGATGCACGCTACTGTTTAGTGGAGAGTCGTCCAAGGGCTGGGCACTAATTTGGGACAAAGTCTGCTCGTTACAGGTAGGCAAAAATAATTATTCATCCTCTCCCTATTATTGGTCACTCTAGTGCTGGCCAGCTCCTGATGTAAATTAAAGGAGATTGAGTTATTTGAATTTGCAACCTGCAGCAGCTGAATTGTTCCTGTGCTTAAATTAGCAATCTTGAAACCTTTTCCATGTTACCCTCCCTTCCGCTCCTCCCCTTTACACTCCTCCACAGAAGGAACAAAGTACACAGTTACACTGTCTTTGTCAAGGAAGTCCTGGGTGATTTGGGGGAAGGGTGATGCTGCCTTCGCATCCTGTAATGGTAAGAGAGTGATTTGTAAGTAAAAGAAAAGAGGGAAGGACAAAAAGGAAAGGAATGTAAGAGTAAAACATAATATTTCCCTTTACCCACCCTCTTCCTCCAATAAATCCCCACCTCAAAAAGACACAAAGATCTAGGTGCAAGAACAATAAAGTGTCTGCAAGGCACCACGCTCTCTCTGCAGTGCTGCATTGCCCTGGCAAGGAAGAGGCAGAAACTTGTTTAGGGCCACATTCAGATGAAACATCAGCCTTGCCTTTCCATTCCTAATATGCTCAAGCTGCTGGCAAGCACGGCTTAGGTGGGAGTGGGAAAAGCAGAGCTGCTGGAGAGAGAGCTCGTTCAGGTTGTATCCGTGCCAAGGAGTGCATTTGAGGAGTCCCCATGGGGCACGAGCTGCTGAGCTCCAGGCTTGGCCTGGCAGGAGCGAGTGGCAGAGGTAGGGATAGATTCGGTACGGCGGGACTGGCACATCAGCCTCAGCGGGTGATACGTGCCTGGGGCAGAGGGGTAAGTTAAAATCTAAGCTCTCTGTTGCCGAGGCACAAACAGGGATGGTGAGAGCACAGGGAAAGGATGCGGGGGGTCTCTGTCTGGCATGGTTTGTGCTGGTAGGGCAGCATGGGTGTGTGTGTGTGCGCTGAGTCAGTGACTCTTCAGAGCTGGAAGAAAAATTATTCCTGTCCCCTGCCAGCACTTCACACAGATCCAGGATACAGTTCCCAGAAGTGTCCCTACGTATGTTAGCAGGAAGGCAACTGTCTGCACATTTTGCAGCACGAACAGCATGGCAGCTGGTGCAGCGCTGTGCTGTGAGCCTGGGGTAATGGATCTCCTGAAGGGAAAGCTGTGGAGTACAGCGCTGACGGGCTTCATCTGCTGACTGCCAGGGAGGCAGGTTCTTCTTCTTCACGCTGAGGAAGCTTGCAGGCAAGAACTGGGACTGGAAGCAGGCAAACGACCAGCTGCAGGGCTGGGGTCATGCAGTACAGCGCAGCCCTCTTCATTACAGCATCTTCATTGCAGGGACAGCAGCCTGGGAAAACTGCAATTCCCAGCACCCTCTTGTGCATGTCCCTGCAAACTACAGTTCCCAGAACCCTTTAATGAACCAGAGAGGATTTCTATGGAAATAAATGCCGACGATTTTTGCATAACACCCTGCACCTCCGAAGTGCTGGGTGACCCCTGATTAGTGAAAACGGGAGCGGGGTGGGGGAAAGCCGGGGAACGTCAGGGCTGTGGAGCTGTGGTTTTGCCCACCCCTAATAGCCGCAGCAATATCCTCCAGCACGGAGCATCATTCCTCCCCGCGGGACTCCCAGGGAGGACCCTGGTCCCCGGGAAACAAAGCTGCGGCGGAAGGAGAGGCAGATAAACTACAGATCCCGGCATTCTCCGGCCAGGCAGCACCTGCGGCAGTCCCTGCACGGTGGGGGATGGATGAGGATGAGGATGGAGGGCGGGGAGGAGATGCAGGGCGCCGTGGGGCTACGCTGCAGCTGGGACATCCCGCCACCCGCTGGCACCCAGGCCAAGTGGGTGAGGCTCAATGTGGGGGGCACCGTCTTCCTCACCACCAGGCAGACCCTGTGTCGGGAGCAGAAATCTTTCCTGTGTCGCTTGTGCCAGGGCGAGGAGCTGCAGTCGGACCGGGTAAGGCAGCAGGGTTGCCTCCCGCACCGTGCCCCACCGAGCATGGGGAGGGCTGGAGGGCTGGAGCCAGACCCCAACGGCTGCAGGATTAACTGAGAGAAAAATGCTTGCTCTTTCTCCCTCCTCTCCCGGGAAGGATTTACCCTTGCCAGGTCCCACCTTGCTGTGTTGTAGCCTGGCACTTGTCTTCCCCAGCTGGGGAAAAGAGACGCCATCTCCTCGCCGCCCCTTCTCTCCCAACTCTCAGTCACCCCACATCCCCTGGGTCTGCCTCCCAGCCGTGTCTGCCTGACTCAGCCCTGTCCCCTGTAAGGGGCTCTCTGCTCTCACACCAGGCCTGTATGCACAGTTGCAGCAGGAGACTGAGGCCTGTTCTTTTGGCTTTCTCAGCTGGGTTGGTCCATGCTGAGCATACCAATAGAGAAGTTAAAATCCAAGGTGGGCTGACTTGGCTAGGGACCCTCAGGGGCCCATGGTTTCCAAGGAGTCTTAGAAATAGTGGACAGTTTCGTTTAGGTTTGTGTTTTCTTACCGTCTGGAGCATTTGAGGGTTGATTACAAGTTTCCCATGAGGTGTTTCTCCTTGTGGTCTATCTCTGTTTCTAGGATGAGACTGGTGCATACCTAATAGACAGGGATCCCACTTACTTTGGACCCATCCTGAATTTTCTCCGTCATGGGAAGCTGGTCCTGGATAAAGATATGGCTGAAGAAGGTGAGTCTTGGAGCTGAGAAACCTCCCACTTAACATTGCTGCTCTAGCCAGGACACAGTAGGACTTGTTGACCTTACTGTCTCTCATTCTCCTTCTGGAGGTTGATGTAAGGGGATTTGAGAAGGCTATCCCTGCAACTCTTGCAAAGCATACCGATGTTTCCTTTGCTAAAGGGGTTTGGAGGAGGTGAGGAATGCATCCTACAGCTGTTGTGGCTTCACGACTGTTTGTTCAGCAGAGATGTCACCAAGACAGGAGTAAGCAAGATCTCCGAGCCTCAGTAAACCATTTTTCACTTGTTCCTGATCCACTTTTAACCAGGCTTTGTGACTGAGTTTTCTGTTAATGACTGAGTGTTTCTAATTGGGAATGAAAACCCAGAAGACCAAACAAAACCAAGTTCATCCCTTCTACTGACTGTAGTAAAGACCATCATTAATTAGTGATATGCTATGTGTGCTACTAGTGCTCTGATGGGTTGTGGACTGCAGCAATTCCAGTGGAGCAAGCCAGGCAAACCAATCCCTCATTTGAGGTTGACAGGGGGTCCAATACAATAACTCAGTAACATCACAGTGTTACCAGCCAGCAGTCCCCAATGCCTCATCATTTTTTGGATGCTGGAGTCTAACAGGGAGCCAATTCCAAAGACAGGCTGTGCTGTCCTGTCCTTGCCAAGCACAGTTTTCTGCATGTTCATTAGTCGTCTTGCCTCTTTCTCTTACAGATTTTTACCTAATGCAAGGAAAGTTTTCTTCAGAATCATCTTATGAGTCATATTTCCAAAAATATATCTAAGCAATGATACAGAATTGTAATAAACAGAATTCTGAGATCTTTTCTACTTGAGGTCAGACAGAGTTCATCCACAGGTTTTAACATCAAATCTGAAGCATAAACAGGAGTCCCGTTCATAGATTAACATTCCCTCTTGTTCCTGCTGCAGACACTCAGGCTGGCCAAAACTAACCCATTAAATGATTCACGGCTGAATGAGGGACTCAGAAGAGGTCTGAGTGTGTCAGGTAGTGAAGGATCAATCTGCCCACCTGCACTGTCTGTGTGCTGCCTTGGGGACATGTGAGTGTTGGCTCCTAGCCACCTTTCCCTCACTGACCTTCTGGGAACCCTTTCCCTGAAGGCCTGTTAGCAAACAGGTGAGTCTCAGGAAGAAGTGGTGGTTACAGACACCACAGAGAAAAAAACTAAACCACTTCTCTGTTTACCTGTTTTGAGGTGAAGCACAGGGGAGAGAGTCAAAGATCATCTGAAAGTCATATGGGGCTGCCATGTGGGTGCAACTCCAACTGTCCCAGGAGGAAAGCTGGGATTTTCTAGAGTCTTTTGGTGACAAGGTCAGAACAAGTTGTGGTTCTGTGCCTTAAGAAGAGGGTCTGAACAAGGTGATAACTAGTGGTCATTGAGGGAGGCTGGAGCCTACATTTATTCTTCTTGGCCAGTTATCTGGGAAAGGTGTTATCAGTCCTTGGCAGAAGCCTTCCCTGGCAGTGCCTGTTTCTGTAGTAGCAGGCATCATAAAGACCTTGGGGTGAGCATTAGAAATGCAATGCAGAAAGCCAGGGTTAAATTCTCTGTAGTAAGAGTTTCAGGCAACACAAAGCTGTTAAAAAGTGAGGCTGCAGTGTCATATCTCCCTATGGACTTTGGGAAGCTCAGAATTGATCTTTTGCAAGCCAAAAAACAAAGACAGGCTGTTAAGTTTCTGTCTTTGTGGTCCTTCTGTCTTTCTTTCTCAGGGGTCCTAGAAGAAGCTGAGTTCTATAACATTGGTCCTTTAATCCGAATGATCAAGGATCGACTGGAGGAGAAGGACTTCACAGTAACTCAGGTATGGAGAGAAATGGCAAGGAAAAATAGAGTGGGGTGGGTGAAGGAGGAAATGTGGAAAGGGAGAGGTGAGTCTACAGGGAGAGCAGACTTGGGAGAAGCAGGAAGGAATGGAAAGAATCAACTAATTAGAGTTTATGTGCTGATGTCTACATAGCAAAATCTTGCAGCGGACAGGCTACCACCATTTTAATTATAATAAACAAGTTACAGGATTGTTTTGCATCCCCAGAAATAATGCTGGATGTAGCCCCTGAAACCAAATCAGCTTGTCTAGCTTTTGGAAGAAGGCAGCTGGTTGCTGTGGGCTATGGAATTACGTTTCTGAGGAGAGCGAAGGTGTCGTGAGGAGGAGGGCTCTTGTGTGGGGAGTCCTGGGAGTATAATCACAGCAAAGAGCATGGGGATACCTG